ATATACACATACAGATGACCAGGTGAGAGGTAATTAATTGCACATGGAATATTAGTGGAAAAACTAAATATCAAAGGCCTCAGAATTTTTACTTTCAATGTAATTCTTAAGAAAATATTATTTTTTCCTGAAAAAAATGAATAAATTTTGCTTGCATCTAAATATCCATTCCAGTAAAATGAAAGTTCACATATTCTAACCTTTTTTCTGTCTCTTTTTAATGATTCCAGTAAGATGCTTCTTTAATGACTCAACAACATGTCCTTCATTTTTTATATTCTGAACAAAAGGGTGATGAAGCATGTTTGCAGAAGTAGGACGAAATAGGAAATTTTTTATCATGCACTTTTCCATGAAATTGTGGAACTTACGAGACCTAAAAGAAATGAGTCAGAGATAAAAGAGTATCCTCAGGACTACTATATTTTCTCCCACCCTCACACACATGTCACTCTGCAGATCATATTTTTGGAGAGAGTTGCCTCTAGTTATAATTGTCTTTTCAATTGCCATATATCCTGCAGCTTGACAATATACATTATACTACAGATAAGCCAGAGTCAATGGCATTTAAATAGTAGTAGAAACTTCAAGGAGTACAGAAATATGTACATGGTAAAAAGTCAAGTGATGGTATGGCAATGAAGTGGTTAATGCAATATATGCAGGTCATGAAACTAGACTGGTCAGCCAACAGGAGTCATACTTTGAAGCCTGAATGTTTCACTTGACTATATGTATTTTGAGCTATGGAGGTGTAGGTATGATGATCCAAAAAAGGATGTTAATAGCAACAGGACTAACTAATCTTATAAAATGGCCCATGAAAACAGATGTGGCCAGAAAGCCTGAATCTGTGGTAAGGGTTAAATTGAATCACAAGGAAAAATGTCAGCAATCAAATCACAGTCACCACTTTCACCAGGGCAAGCAATAAATACTAAGAATAAGCAAGAATTTCAGACATTCAATCAAAATGCTTCAGTGTAAAGGGTTCCCAAGTTTAGTTGGCTGGTAGCACTCTGGAAGAACAAATTCTCTCCTTTAGATCTGTGGATGTTTTTCAATGGTCTGAACAACTGAGTTATATATCACAATCACTGACAGCCTATCTAGGCACAGTAAGAAACATCACAAACAAATGATTTCTATTGGTCCATGCCATCAATGAAGAAACAACTAAACATGCCATTAATTCCAGGGCAGTGACATCATCATAATATATATGGAAGGTATTACTTATTTCTAGTTGACTAGCTAGCTTTTAATGAAAACTAATCATTAAGATATTAGTTTTTAGGAAATACTGTCCAACAAAGATGTTGAAACAGGATTATAAAATTAATTAAAACTCATGTGCTACATAAAAAAATGTCAAGTTAATGTGTTTAGAAGATTAAGTCATTTATCTTTACCATCCACTGGATTTGACTTTGGGGGCCGATTCCCGCAAAATAACAAAGAGGGCTTCCAGGGGCTGAAGGTTACACAGGGCTGCAAAGGAAAATAGATATGTTTAGAATGAATGAGAAGGGTAACAACAGAGCACATTCCTCATTCCAGAGGGGATTCTCAGTGTTCTTTCACATTTCATATTAAGGAGACACTGAGGAATAAGTAGATACATATTAATGTAGTCAGAGGAAAAGCTCATTTTAATGCAAACGGTACATTATATTATTTTAATTTTTAATGTTTATTTATTATTGAGAGACAGAGAGAGACAGAGCATGAGCAGGGGAGGGGCAGAGAGAGAGGGACACACAGAATCTGAAGCAGGTTCCAGGCTCTGAGCTGTCAGCACGGAGCCCAATGCGGGGCTCAAAGTCACAAACCTCAAGATCATGACCTGAGCTGAAGTTGGACACTTAACCGACCGAGCCACCCAGGCGCCCCCAAACAGTCCATTTTATTAGATCCTCAAGCATCGCCATCGTCAGGTGTGGCAAATTAATAATAAATTACACTGGATACAAATTTCAAAATGTGTGATGGATGATTTCTATCTAGAGATGTAAACCCAAAATGAAGACAAATACTCTTCTGTATTTTGTGTTGTAGGTATCTGTAGTTATAAAATTGTAATTATAGGCCGAAAAAATCAACAAAACAAGTAGCTAAGCACAATAATATATAAAGAATGATTTAGTGGTCTAAAAAGATGAGAATAATCTGTTTTGGAAGCTGACAGTCCTAGGAAAAGAGGTAGATATAGTGTAACAAATTGTTAAATATAGTGTAGTATATTTATTTAAATTAAATTAAATTAATTGTTAAATATAGTGTAGTATAAAGAGTAGATACAGTATAACAAATTGTTACCCTCTAGAGTAAGATCACTTGGGTTCAAATCCTAGTTCTGCCTTTGTGACCTCACCTCAAACAAATTACTTAACCTATCTGTGCCTAAGTTTCTTTATCTGGAAAAAAAAATCAAGAATTCCTTCAAAGAGATGTCGTGAGCATTAACCTACACATAAAAGTGTCTGGCACAGAGTAGGCACTTAGTAAATATTAGCTATTGGTATTATAATAAAGATTTTAACTATCTGACACTTCAGGTCTGTGCCAAATTACAGGACTTTCATTCTCTTTTTGAAACACACATCTATCTATCTATCTATCTATCTATCTATATAAAAGCCTATTTCAATATGTGCTATATTGGAAAATATCCCCAAAGGAGAGCCATAGTATAAATTTATTTTTTTCTTAATATATATTTTTTTATTTTATCAAGTTTTTAATTTTAATCACAGTATAGTTAACATACAGTATTATACTAGTTTCAGGTACATAATTTAATGACTCACGATTCTATACATTACTCATTGCTCATCATGATGTGTACTCTTTAATCCCCATTACCTATTTCACCCATCCCCCTAACCCACCTCCCCTCTGGAAACCACCAGTCTGTTCTCTATAGTTAAGAGCCTGTTTCTTGGTTTCTCTCTCTCTTTTATTTCCTCTGCTCATTTTTTTTTGTTTTTAAATTCCACATATAAGTGAAATCATATGGTATTTGTCTTTCTCTGATGGACTTATTTCACTGAGCATAATAGTCTCTAGTTCCATCCATGTTGTTGTAAATGGCAAGATTTTATTCTTTTTTGGCTGAGTAATATTCCCTGTAGATAGATAGATAAATGATAGATGATAGATAGATAGATAGATAGATAGATGATAGATAGATAGATAGATGATAGATATATGTGTGTATGCCACATCTTTATCCACTCATGTATGATGGACACTTCCATAATTTGGCTATTGTAATAATGCTGCAATTACAATTGGGGTGCATATGTCCTCTCAAATTAGCGTTTTTGTATTTTGGGGGTATATACCCAGTAGTGTGATTACTGGATCATAAGGTGGTTCTATTTTTAACTTTATGTGGAACCTCCATACTCTTTTCCACAGTGACTGCAAAAGTTTGCATTCCATCAACAGTGCAAGAGGATTCCTTTTTCTCCACACCCTCACCAATAAATTTCATCTAATATTACAGGTGTGTCATTCATGTGAGGACAATTTGATATCAGTGACTCTTTAGAGTCATCGTTTCTCTCCCAAAATACATCTCCAGAAAAACTATAATGCCAAACTAGCTTCTTATGATAGTAGGAAAAAACTCCCCAGGGTGTTTTCATTAGAGTGATATAAAGGCACTTGCTCAAAGGTCAAGTTTTTGGTTCAATTACATAGGTAAAGATTAACAGAGGTACAGTTTTATACTTGATGGCAGAATTATCCCCAAGCTCAAAAGATCAGGATCACATTTTGTTCTTTTCATTCCCCTACTCTAACCATCCAGTCACCAGATTCTGCCCTTTAAACATATTTTAAGTGAGTTTGTACAATACTAAACAGTTGTCATTTATTAACATTTGAGCATCATTTAGTCAACTAACAACACCCCCAGGGGTCAAGAGCTAGAGCATAGACTAAGGAAGTTTTCATTAAGGGAAATGAGAAGTCCACAAAAGAATGGAGTACAGGGTGGGTACAAGAGCTATGTCAAACAGTGGAGGTTTCCTATATAGTCTAATTTTAGGAATTCCAGTAAATGCTCCCTTTACCCCACATATAACATGCCTAAATATTTTACCATTAGAGTCTCATTACTTTGAAATAGCAAGCCTACTTTAAAAATACATTTATAGGAGCTCAGCAGGAAGATGGCGGCGTAGGAGGACGCTGGGCTCA